TTTTCAACTAGATATCTGCGGGAATCATCTGTTTAATAGTTGTTTAGTTATGACGTAATAACAATATGTATTATGCATTCAGAATGCAGATATGCATAAAAAATTGCACTGAAACAAAAACACGTTGGCTGAATTATTGGAACTTTTATTTTATAACTATTAGCAATATTCACTTTTATGTTTTTGTATAATATTTAATGATATCGATTTCGTTTCAATGTCATCAGATCCTTGAATAAACTCAAAATCAAAAGTCAATATAGAGATTGTCATCGGCTTCGTGAGCACAAGGATATTATTATATCGAATTAAAGGAGATATTTATATGATTTTGGTGAAATATGGGAATTTAAATTTTTAAATTACATTTTTTTCGCAGAATGGTTAAATCAAAAGCACTAAAAATCTGGATAATGCGTAAATATGTTCAAATAATTAAAAACCTTGAAATATGCTAAATACAATTTTAAATACGTATTCCAAACGGAGTCTTTATTTTTACAATTTACTGAACTCTATCCAAAAAACCATTGGTTAAAATCCTCAAACCCATACAGTACTTAAAATTCAAACGGATTTAGTGTAGTGGCACAGCGCGGAGATGTTTCCAACAAAATATTGGTCTTTTATAATACTTGCCTGGTACGAACTTTTAATATATCTACTTAGTATTTCATTAATAAATTGAAAATAAAACCATTTTTTCATATTTAATATTGAGATTAATGTGTAATACTATATTAAAATACATCTTGATAAATGAGTATGCCTATAATACGGCTATACTACCGAGTCAGAATTTTCCACTGAAATGCTTACATATAGCTGTAAGTTATTACTATACACTGTGGTACCGAACACGTAATTCAAGTAGTTCAACATTGAACCGTCTTAAAAGTTGAGCTTGTATAATAAAATAATGTGCTTCCGAGTCTATCTGCTATTATTTTACTAAACATAAAAATGTCATTCAATTATTTATATATTATAATATTAAGCCCGTTATATTTTAATTTTAAAGCAAGTTATGAGTATTTTAAAATTGTAAATTGCTTGTACATCTTAAAATACTCATAACTCGCTTTAAAATTAAAAATTCTCTGATATCCTCTTAAAGTATTTTTAGAAAAAATAACTACGAGTTCTACAATAATAACACGTGACTGCAGAGAGTACATGAACATTTTACTTTCGGTTGTTACTTGTTAACTAGTTAACTACACTATCTATAACTATGTAAGTACTACTGAAATAGTCGAATGTTATTTCGAATACTGCGGCCGTGCGAACTGCACTCAAACTGCTCTTATAATATATTGTACTCATCATAACAATGTCGTTATGCCCAGATATTAATACATGTCCAGTGTGCAGTGCATGTGCGTAATTGAGTACAATTTTTTATTTGTTCATTACCTATACTCTCGTTCGGAACAATATCACGTTCACGTACCTAAACCTAGGTATACTCACATGATAAACCGCAGAGCCTCGTCCCCGGGGCTATTGGCTGTAATAAATATAATCACTCGTAAAGGCCAAGTACGATATTATTTTGTTAGGTATACATATCCTCGTCCCGAATGTACAGCAGAACAAAATAAAATTATACAGGTACGGCACGGCGGTAGAGCGAGAAAAATAATGGTCAATCAATTAAAATTCCATCAAATTTTTAGTTTTTTTTCCCGGCAAATCTCCCATTGGTAAAAAAAATAATATGTCTACCTCGTGCGATGGTTCAACCATGTGAGTGATACAACCTGTTGCGCCTATTATACTAAGTATATTATTTCACTGTGGCGTGTACTATGTTATAATATAGACGGTTTAAAAATATATACATTTCAAAGAGTTGCAGATTAATCATTCAGCTTTGGAGTGGAATTCCTTTTATTTATTATTTCTTTTTTTTTTGCAAAGTGGTATAAATCGTTTAGTCGTTTATTTATGAGGGATATTATAATATAGGTAATATAATAATGCGTATTATGTTTGATTTAATCTCTTTAAGTTATTCATATTATATTATATTAGTACGAGACTTTATTTTTCAAAGTTAAACGACGATTTTGTTCAAAATGTGAAATGCATTTGTAAATGTGTACAATACTCGATGATTAATAGTTCCGAGTTGATACTATTTCTAACTTGTTTTTTTATTAAATAATATGAAGTATATTATATAGCTACTTCGCTTTGTTGGTACGTTCAACCGACTGAGGTGTACCTACAATATTATTAAGTAGCTATCAGGAATCTAAATATGTTCATTGTTCAGCATACTAACAAAAGTTGCATACCTTGTCGATGAAGTCGTCTGCGAACACTTATGGGTCTACTCCAAGAGAAATTACGTAAAATATAAATGTCATATTTTGATGAAAATCGTCGGTGTATATTATATTATGATCATCACTCGACGAATGGTGGTTCAAATCACATTTAAGTCGTCGAAGATTTGATTTAATTTTTGGCAATGTAAATAGATATAGTTTGAGACGTGTATCTATTGTAACCTATCTCTACATACATATTTCAGTGCATGTGTATGCGTGTGTGTGTGTGTGTGTGTGTGTGTGTGTGTGTGTGTGTGTGTGTGTGTGTGTGA